TGGTAAATAAGTTGAAAACGACAGTAGATTGGTAAATAAGTTTTATAATTTGGGTAGATTGATAATAAACTCAAGAAAAGTGGTTAAAATAGATATCACAAATGTGGTAAAAACACCCACAATTGTGGTAAAAATACCCATAAAAATTTTAAATGACTTACAAAAGTGATAAATTTTTTGATTATAAAATGACTCACAAAAATTCTAAAAACATCTTTTAAGGTAGTAAATTTTAGAGGTATGATATCAACTTCTTTTTTGTCAATCCCATAATCAAATCCCTTAGGGTATGTTAGCTTTACGTATTAGAAAAGAGTGATTTAAAAAAATAATGTTGAGGTCACCTTATCCCTCTTATATACCTACGTTTGGATACATATTATTGGGTCCGATATTATTACCTAGAAATAATATCAGTCCGGATGAATAGTATATTTAATACCACCTATAGCCTTTTAAATAAATCCACTTTTTTCGTGGGTTTAAATTATCCGATTGGGATGTATTTGGGCAAAAGATATTTTTATCTTTAATAACCTCTAGAATATTAAACTCTTTATCTTGAGAGTGTTTTAGTAATTTAATGTTTATACCATTATTCAATATTTCATCTAAACAAAGTATTAAATGGAATAAATATAGGGCCTACTATTTCTTAATATTTAAACCAAACATTGAATGAAGATACATTATATCTATAATTAGTTCAAAGGGCGGATGGATGGGTACGAGAGGAACGAATTTGTCTAATCTGGTCTTTCTTAATGCTTAAACTAAACACACCCTTAATGGACGATGTACTAGTAAAATTAATCTAATTCACATGATATGACACATTTGATTTATTTAAATATTATTTATTAATAATTATTTGGGTCTGATAATTATAAGGTTATCATTTTTTATCGAATCGGTTTAAATAATGACATCTAATTTGCCAATGATTAATTTTAAAATGGCTCAAAAAATAGAACTAAATGATATGACATTATCATAATAAAAAAAATATAAACTTCAAATGTGTAACCGTTGAATCAACAATATGATTATGGTAATGCACATCTTTTGGTCCCTTTAATCTAGCATTATTCTTATTTTATTTTTTTGAAAGAAACGATAAGATAATTTATTAATTCGACGAGGATACATCACTTTGGAGCGAGGTAAACAAGAAATTTGGGCATTCCTCCCTCCATGTACATAAATCTGGATATTTGAAAGCATGCTTAGCTAGACAAAAGGCACTGAGATTACCATCCCTATGATCCCAAGAAGCTAAGAAGCCACTGAACTGTTGTTCACACAGCAAAATTTGATCCACAAAATGGCCAAAGATCGACATTCGCATTTTCTCTGAACTCACCGCATGAATGACCCCCTTAGAGTCGCCTTCCAAGACAATTTTTTGAAACTTAGCACCCATCACCAGGGTAGCTGTAGCTGTTGCTGCCATCGCCATAATACTCTCCTCCCCAAGCAGTTCCTTTGATCTTCTAAAACATCCCTGGCAGAAATTTACCCTCCTCATCCCGTGCAATAACGCCAATACCCGAACAGCCTTCATTCTCAAAAATAACCCCATCAAAATTGAGCTTAACCTCTCCTAGATGGGGAGGAATCCATCGAGGTCCAGTACGATTGCGCACAGAATGCTCAAGTAGAGCGGCTGGCCTTGACACTATCCAAAATTGTTCTAGGAAAGTATATGAAAAATCAACAAGATGGGCTGGTGTCTGAGAGGCTTCACCCAATCAAATTTTGTTCCTGTTAGACCACATAGTCCACAAAATAACCGCCATCAAGCACAACTTATCTGGATGTAGCAACTAAAGAGTAGCTGAAAACCAAGCCTTAAAAGGAAGACCACTCGTCAAAAGTAGCTGAACCTTTGCCACTTTCCAAACCTTCTTCGCAAAGCCCTTGTAACACACCTCTCGCCTCAACATCATAAGCAAGGCCGAAAAACCCTCAGTACTGTTGGGATTTCTCACGATTTAAATTCACTAACAAACACACACAATCGAAAAACAAATCAAGAATATAAAGCAATAAGAAACAAGACACAGATTTTACGTGGTTCGGCAATTTGCCTACGTCCACGAAGCTGCAGGGATTTCACTATTGAGAGAGTTAAATACAGAGAGCGGCTGTACATCCACAATTAACCCTAATCACCAAAACAACAGGGTTTATATGTCCTACGCACTGGGCTGTATAACGGGCCCAAAAAAAAAATTTCCTCGGGGGCGTTGCCCCCGAACCCCCACGAGGCTTGTCCATGAGCGCTACGGCTTGGGCCTATCGGCCCAAGCCTTCGCTCCATGGACTAAGCCTCAGAAAATTTTCCATTAAAAACCACACAACATTATTTCGGGTCGAGTCATCATCCGGATCACATATACAAACTAGACTCCATAAAAATAAACCAACAAGTACATAATAAGAACAGATACGGAGACACAGGGCCTCCTTGACAGAATCCTCTTCTCGGGTGAAAATACCCCAGCTGCTCTCCATAGTAACATTTTATCTAAATCACTGTCCTTTAATAGAGTTTTCTCTTCTATCAAATCCTTGCCCTTCAAATTTTATTTTCCAAATCCATGCAGTTTTAATCTTAATCTTATTTCCCACTTTTAAAAAAATCATTTCAAATGAATTTTAAATGATATTTTTAGGCTGCACACTACTCATTACTTAGATAGATCTTAGAGCCTATAAATCAAAGAGGACGTGATTAAAGTCATTTGAAGTGATATTTTTCCATATTAAAACACATATAAAATTGTATATTTCAAAAGTTACTTTGGTTTTCGGAAATAAAAATTATAATTGAATGGGATTGGTGAAAACCTCTTCCTTTATAACTTTTTTGTGGGATTGGAATATTATGATTTTTTATTCATTAATTTGCCAATAGTTCCAAGCAATACAATCGGGCTATAATGTGTCTCAAGCATCCTCCAACTTGCAACTCTTACACCATAGAATGTGCCCTTGACACTAAGCATTGGCAATGTCTTGGCCCAACCCAAAGTTTTCGGGCCCATAGCCCATCGAAGGCCAGGCCTATCAGACTTTATTGGTCAACGGGCTTGATTCGAGCTAACCCAAAAAAAGGCTCATGACCGGCCACATGGGCCAGAATTTGGGCCAACTCTAAAGGACTGATAATTGGGCCTTAAGCGAGTTCTTTAACAAAAATATTTCAAAAAATGAGATTAATATAAATAAATATTTTATTTACTAATTAAATTTAACAATTATCCATCAATGAGAGTAGTATGCATCACTAGAGATTGGGTACATCCCAATTTGATTGGCACATACATAACTATAAACCATTTGAAATTTCCAACGCTTTAAAAATAAATAGAAAATAGAAAATTATCAAAACAATTATGCAATCTAATTGTCTTCCTCGAGCGAATTGTCAAATGCTCAATCTTTTCTTTGTAAGTTCATTTCTATTAGCGATAAAGTTAATTTTTTGTTTCTCATTTCCTCGCGCATACTAGTGTTAGTTCGACTCCAATCGTTGAGGCACACCAAAACTTCAATTGTAAATAGATCAAAACTGCACCACATATCGAACATTATTCGACCATCTTTACAAACAAGTTACTTTTGACAATAAAGTCGAAACTAGAAACGTTAAATGGAAAGCATAGGATAAGTATTTTAGTGTGTTTTCCACCAACCTAGTAAATCAAAAGCTGACACATAATCACACTATGCAAGAGGTTATTTGAGATAACGTTTTAATTCATTTATGGCTAGCTTAATTTAAATGCCTCCACCGCGATGGATCCTTTATGCCTCGAACAATCTTCAAGGTTTCATACCCAAGACTCTTAGAATGTACATTTCTCCAAGAGGGTTTTGGTTGGCATCAAGAAAGATCTTCTTATTCAATGTGTGAGGTTGAATGGAAGAATCAAGATTGTTGGCCTTTTTAGACTTAGGGATCTAGAGTTATTCTTGAACCTCTCGAAAAATGTTTGGGTATTTTCTAGCGCACAGATGCTTGCTCTAGATTGGGAAAAACTCCCTCTATTTTTAGGAAATGAATTAGGGTTGTCTTGGAAATTAAGAAACTAGAAATTCATGCTTGATTACTCAAGCAGTGGGAGGGCGGTCAGAGAGCAGTATAATGAGTTAAACCAAGGGATTGTCTTAGGCCTCTAAGGTCATTTACCTTTGTCCTAAGTAAGAAGGTATATACGGAGCTTTTTCTTGATGTAGCTTGAAGAACACACTTCTCCCTCACTTTTATTACTTTCGGATCTTTATCGTTATAACATCATGACCATATAATTGGTTGAAATTTATATATATTTCACGAAATTAACCAATTACAAAATATATAGAAGTTATTGTTAGGTCCAGTGGGTTGACTAAGCGTCATAACTTGCCTATCGATGGGTATTACTCAAACAATGTTTCTTGAGTTACAAGCTTCGGTAGAAACTAGAATGAAGGATTTGGATTATATTCAATTCCAAAAGAACAAGGTAGAAAAAGTATACAACAAAAAGGTAAACTGCAAAAGTTCTGCAGAAGAAGACATAGTTTGAAAAACTATTCTACATCTTAGAAGCAAAGACAAAGAATATAGCAAATAGTCTTTAAATTGAAAAGGCCCTTTCAAAGTTGATAAAGTTCTAAAAGCTAAAATCCTTAGAATGAGAGGAAATCCATAAATAAGAGAGAGTTGAAAAAGTACTATTTCACCATGTAGGAGTCTTATAATACAATTTGGCAAAATAATTCATATGGGCCACTAGAATGGCCAAATAAAAGCAGTGGCTTCATTCAAAACGTAAAATATAAAAATTTATCATGGTCAATTATAAATGGTTGAAATAAACCTATTTTTTTAGCCTTTTTTGTTATTTTTTTTTACTTGTATACACTACGAATACCGTATTTTACCAATTTGTGTTGAATAAATTTTAAAGTGTCAAATATGATGTTAAAAAATATTGATAAAATATCTTTCCTTTGTTAATTTAGTGTTGGTAAAGAGCTCACCCATAAATAATTTTTTGGCTCCGTCCCCGCATATATGACTGATTGACTGCACATTTTCCTAAATAAAAACAAATCCCATGGACTTCCAAAAAATTAAAAAAAAAATAAGTTTTTGCCTCCAAAAACTGACTGAAAAATACAAGAAAAGGCCAATATAGTATACGTATGTGGGGGTCAGAGAGTGAGAGAAAGAGTAAGCAGACTCAGCAGTACAGTCTGGGCAATGCTGTGCTGTGGGAAGGAGCAATCATGACACTACTCGTTGCTGCTGCTCTAGACATCTGACCTTTCATCTTTCTACACAACTTCTCCAATTCCACCACCCTCCACTGCATTCTCTGGAGGTTTAGTCTCATGTCTTCATTCTCTTCTGGAGAGCTCTCACTATGGGTGCTGCTTGTGTTTAAAGTTTCATAGACATAATCTTGGGTAGTTATGTTGGAATGCTGGGCAGCAAGTGCTTCGACAGCTATCCTCGGAGGGATTCTAGGGTTCTTTGCAAGATCTTTGCATGCTTCCAGACTGAGCTTCTTATAATTTAGACATCTGCATAACCTAGATCGGTCTTCCGGTGATACAGTGGGGTGGGACTGCAATAAATATCGCATATTTCTTAGTTTCAAAGTAAGGGTACTAAATTGATGCAATAATGTAATAACATGAATGCATCTAAGGAGAGAGAGAGAGAGAGAGAGATGGCTGTTTATTATCTTTAAACTCTGTGGAAGCATCAAATCAGGAATCCATGCAAATAACATATATAGATCCTCTACAATACTTTTGTTTCTCTATTTCCTTACTTAATAGATCACTCACCATGTATTATTGAGGAATCACTTATACACAATAAATCCTCCTTAAAAAATTTATGGTAAGTGATCTACCATTGAAATTTTTTTAAAAAATACTAGAGAAAATCTCACTCCATAAGAGAATCCAGAAACAGAAAGCATTTAATAGCATGGAAGCTAGCAAATTCAACACCAGACTGCAAAAGCCCCTAAACTTTGTTTTGATTAGACTGACAATTTGTTCTTGACTACCTTCTATAATAAAATGGCAGTTCTTAACTTGTTATATTCCTAAGAGTGCTGGTATGCTTAAATAATTGCACGAGACTTTATTACGGAAACTTACATTAAAAGTAAGAATAGGGAAATATACGCATATGGGCAAAGGATAAGTTAAAGTACACCGTTTATCCTATCCCCTACACCTTCACCCTCTATTATGAAAGATACCACCAGTTCTTAAAAGTCCAACCATGCAACCACAAGCTTTTGCAATCTTTGGAAGCAGCGGCGAAGTCTAGAAAAAAAAAAAAGAAAGAAACTGAATATAGAACTCATAGGGGTCCTTTTTCATATTTTCATACCGTGAGGGAGTCGATTTAATAATTTATACAATTAATCAAAGAATTAAGGAGTCAACAAATAATTTTCATAACTCATGTGGTCCCTGGTTCTACCATGGATTCGCCACTGCTTGCAAGACAGTGAAGAATGTGTGTTAATGTTTGTTAGAGAACAAGTACACTGAATATGACCATGGACTAACGTAAAATTTTCGTATAGAATTTTACATACATATTAATGTTAAATCCTAAAATTACAGTTATGCAACTAATCCTTAAAATTGAGACGTCAAGGTTGTCTAATGTTACATTTTATAAATGAAAGCCCATCTAAAGTAAGTATGAAATGTGTCCTCCTGGCAGGTCACAAATTGAGAAATCAAGTATCTCCACCCAAAAAAAATTAAAATTAGAACCCTAAAAGGGCACCACCACATATGAGAAATTTAAAAGTTGAAAATTCTGTTTGGTAGTGAAAATCAGTATTTTTTTGTCTCATCTCTCGTTTTATCTTTCTGTTTTCCTTCCCTAATAATTATCCCAATGCATCTATCTCCCAGAAAGAAAGAGAAGAAAAAAGTACAAGTGAAATAGTCACCTCAAGATACATATCAATAGCTCTGTAGACCCCATCAAAGCAGTCTCTTGCACAATCCGGCAAACTCACTGCAACTCCAAGGAACTTTGATATCTTCAATTTCTGGTCTGGAGATATCTCTCCCAAATACTTATCAATTAATCCACCAACTTTCTTCATTTTCTGTACAGATACTTCATCGTTATGAACAAACAACCTAATCAATCTCAGTACTAGGTTGACATCATAAAAACACCCATCAACCCCAGAGACCATCAAATCATCCAGTGTTGCTTGATCAAGCATTCCACCAATCAATTTCTCCAACCCAGCTCTACAATCCTTGTTAACACCAAAACCAGACACAATCCTCAATACCCAAAGCATTCCCCTGCAAGAAAATGCTGTCTTTCTTATCAAAATCACCCCACAAAGAGCTGTTTCGGCAAGACCAGTATACTCTGACCTTGAACTTTTCAAATTACCTTTGCATTGAACACAATTGTTCAGGTAATGGAGGAGAAATCTTGTGAGGACTAAACGGTTATTATTACTCCCATAAGCCCCAAAAGACTTGACAAACCTTTCTATAATCTTTGGGGGTAAAATGATCAGGTCATCAAACCACCAAGCTTTGCTTGATGAACATGATTTGAGAAGTTCAGGAATGGTTTTAGTTTGGGTTGATGAAGAGAGAGTGAACCCAGATGCAGTTTCTGGAGAAGATGAAGACGAAGAGGATGAAGCAAAGAGATGTATATCTGAATTCTGAGCAACCTTTGCAAGAAGTGAAGACATGAGTTTTTGGATAAGACCAGATGAATCCGCATGAGAGAGAAAAGAATCACAGCTCTTCAGGCAAGTCAGTATGTCATTCCAAGACCAGTAAAACATTCCTTCAAGAAAGCTCTCAGTTTGATGCAAGAGATTGCAAGATGAAACTTTCTCTGTCATTCCAAGAAACACTGCACAGCAATGGAGGAGAGAGACATTCGCTACACTGATTTTGATTGTCCCATTATTGTGACAGAATCTTGAAACCAATTCAAACCCATCCGGGCCTCCGGGAAAATCATTGATGTCAATACAAGAATTCCTGATCTGGGTTCTTCGCTTTTCTTGCTTGATGATCTTCCTCAGATTTTCCGAGAATTTTGTGATGATTTTCTGCGAAAATATTTGAACACGAAACACTTAAAAGACTGATTAAAATTAAAGAAAGGGGTATATTATTAGTGGAGGATTGAATTACCTCATTCAGCAAGAATGTTTCTTGACCATTAATGTGGATTTGAACATCACAGACTGTGGCCATGGCTGCTCTGCATTGAATGAAAAAGGCTCAAGGAATGCAAATCGTCTATGTCCACAATGGTCTGTTATGTCGGCATATCCATTCCATATAGGTGGGTCTATTACCGAACGGTCTAATTGTCACGAGTAATGTTTTCTGTTCTTTATAGCCGCAGCTAACATTTTCCTTCAATTAAATATGGACCCAACTCATATTTCCTGCTTTGCCCGTGGTTTTTATTAGGTTTGTCTAAATTAGGGCGTTCATCCTACGGGTAAGAATTATGATATTTTTTTTTATCCTAATATTTTGTAAAAGAATTTTTTTTGGTATATCCTATCCGATCAAGTGTAATATTCTTATTTGAATTCCGTCCATAACAATCGGATAGAAAATCGAGTGAATACATATTTTTAATTATTAATATTTGGATCATTTTAAAATTTTAATTAAGTAACATGCACCAATTAACAAATAGAATAAATCAATAACACTAAAGAAAATACAATAGATTCGATAATACTTAAACAATTATAATAAAACACAACAAGAAAGCCATAAACATCAATAAAACATTAGAGTTTCTAGATTTTTAGATTTTAATTTTTATGAATTTTAGAAACTCTAATGTTTTATTAATGTTTATGGTTTTCTATATATATATATACGGGTATGATAGGATTACAAAAATTTTATAAGTATTTTCATATTCCTACTTGATTTTTTTTTCAGAATATCAAAAAATTTTATGTTGGTCTGCTCAATTTTTTCCGGTAGCCGATCAATAAAGTCGGGTAGGGTATGGTAGAGTCGGAATTTGTGGGTGATTGAAAATTTGAATACCTCTAGTCAAAATTTGAAATGACTTAGGGATTCTTAGATTTAGGGATTTTTCACCAATTATTTTATTTGGTCATTCAAGAACAATGTTCTAAACATTGTTTGAAAATAGACAATTTTCCATCATGATCGTGATTTGAAAAATGGCCAATTTTTTATCTTTTCATCTTTGTTTAAAATTATATGAATCTTTCAAATATTCGAAATTACTGGTGTTAAATATTGAATAATCGAAATATATGCCACCGAGCAATTGGATTTTTTGGCTATTGTTAGCAAAACTCTCTCATCTTTCTCCCCCCAACGTTGTTAGACTTTAAAGTTTCATGTTCAAATTTCGTTGTGTTTTTTTTTTTTTTTCGTAATAGCGTCCAAAATGAATATAAAAGAAAAGATAAAAAAAATTGTCTGTAGTAGGTGACAGACTCTGCAAGGCAAGAGGCCCATAGCTTTCAATAAATTGGAATTCCCTTGTCACATAGGCAGCTTTGTTTTCCTTGATTTGTATTTATATAGACTCACACTTTTGGGTCATGTGAAATAAGGGGCCCACGGGAAAGGGGGCAGGGTGGTGGGAATGTGATGTGAGAGTGCATTTGGATTTTCTCGGGAAAGACTGGTGACATAGAAAATCGAGCCCTCGTCGTATAATCAAATCACATAAAAAATTATTTTTAGAAACTAAAATAGTACACGTGGATTTGACAATAGAATTACATCGCCTACAAAAGCAATATACAAAATCAACCTATTAGACAAATAATAGAAAGAAAGGTTTATGCTTAGACAAACATGACCGATGACAACATGACCGATGACAAAAATATGTTTACAGATTGACTAAGTAAAAATTAGCTCTCTATTATTGCCAAAATAAAAAAGAGTTAGTTATGATATGAAAAACATGACTTTCGCATTAAGGATATATAAATGTACAACACAAACATTTTTCTTTTGTGGTAAAGAATTGTGATTGTGAGCTTGATGTATGACTTTAGAGCAATGTTATCGGAATCTAATTTACTAATTTAATTTGTTGACTTAATTCATTCTGATCTTTGAATTGACTGTTGACTTCATCAAATATTAGAATTTCGTATTAATCCAATAATTTTATTGAAGTTACATCATTATGTCAGATTTTTAAATGCAAATAAGATTACTCATGACTTTATTATAGAAAGCTTGGGGTAGATGTATTTATCGCACAAAGATCCTTTATTATATTCTCCATAGCACCCATGCTTTTAAAAAATGATAAGTTATAAAAATCATTCTATCTATTTGTTCAAAAACCATAACATGAGTTCCATAGAAATGAAAGTATACACCAACTTTTCTTTAAACAAAAAAATTAGTATACTCAGTAACTTTTATCACAATAGTTCTATCAATGTTTATAAAAGCCATAACATGATAGGGTGGTCTTCTAGCTTGTTAGGATCAATTTTTTAGCAAGGTACGGAATATATTATCTCACAACATTTAGTTTCATTTTAAGTAACGGATTCTAGCCAATTGAATGGATCTTCTGATCAATTCAAAGATCATTTGGTTTCCATTAGTAATGAGGGAGAAACCTTTCCCAGATCAAGCACTAATATATTTATATTTTTAATGTCTAATTAGATTGGATAATCATTCAAATTAAGAATAAAAGGTCGTTGCTTTTTCTTTCCCTGTGCATAATTGAAGCCATATGAAGGGAAAATATAGTCGTTAGAAGGTACATTTCTTAGCCATGACGTGAAATTCTAGAAGTTGATGATGTGGCAATCCAGACATAGATCCTTCATCCCATGGATAAGATCTGACGACCATTTCTTTTGAGTGTCTCTTCTCCTGCTATATGATGAGCTATTTTAACTACACCAATCTTGTTTGATAATGCCCGAGATGGATCACTCGTTGATTGACTTGGTTGCTCATGTAGCAGGTCAATCTATCTGATCTCTAGGTCGTTTGATTTGCTCCCAAAGCTATGGACTTATATTCTAAGTGGACCTTGATCTTGGTATCATCAGTTGCTCCTAGCTCCGAGCTCAGACAATCCTAAGCTGGCAGTTGGTTGGCGCTGAGCTAGATTGTTAAGGTGGAGCTTTGGAGGCTTACCTAAAGAATGACTAAGATCATTAGAATATATCTAAATTGCTAAGGTGAGGGTGAATTGAGGTCATGTCTTTCGATTATGCTCCGAGAATCTTGTGTATCTAAAAAGATGTGATTCAATTGTTACTCGTTCTTTGCACAGACGGACAGGTGTGGGATGTGTTAAAAACGTTGTTATTCGGGTCGTGCCAATCAGGAGGCAACATGCAAGCTTGACGACTGGTGCATTAAATGCACATGATGGAGCAAAAACCTCCAAAATTTTTCCTATTTTAAACTCTTCCCCTTCCACTGTAGCAGACCTACTTTGGGCTCTTCCTTCCTTCAAGTTTTAGCTGCAGAAAGTTTCAGAAAGTGAGAGTGTTCAAGAGGTGGGAGGTCGTGGAGACGAAGAGTTCTCCCCTTGGCCATCGTCGTTCCCTTTTGCTGGTGTCTTAACCAAGTTGCTATAATTAGGGTCTTTCTTCTTCATGACTGGTGTTTAGATCCTCAAGCCCTTGAGAACTGCTCCCTAAATATCCTTCAACTCTATCTTAGGCAAGGTAGTGTAGTTCCTTGTGTTAAAGGCATGTTTGGGTCCTCTTCTCACACTCTTTCATCTATGTCTGCTATGTTTAGAGGTTCTGACGAGGCAAAGGTCAACTCGTCTCAAAAGGAAGTCCTCGTCGACCTGAAAGGGTTATCAAGGGGTGAAAATTCCCTAGCCATTTTTAGATCAAGGACAACTCCTTCTCGGTCACTTGAGATGCCACCTGCCATGGAGGCTACTGAAGAGGTAAAGCCTGAGGAGGTGGTCCCTAAAAAGAATAGGAAGATAGTTAAGACGAAGAAGAGAGTTATATCCTCAGGTAAAGCTCCCTCTTTATTTGACGCTGGTCCTTCAAATTGTAATCAAGATGCCCAAGACTCGCCTGCGACCTTGATTCGCAATCGAGTTGATGAGAGCTGAGCTCTAGCCATTAGGAGTTATTACCTGATGTGGGAAAAAATTAATTGTTGTGATAGAAAAGCTCTAGCAACGCCCCACCTTTTAAAAATATTACCATCGGCAGATCCATTGAGCTCTAGCAATACTGAGAAAGCTTGGAGTAAGCCCAATCCTAATAATCAGCTTTCCCCTACCTAGTAGGCACGTGAAACGGATTCTGTGGATCACATTATCTATAATTTGAAAGTCAAAAGACCCCCAAGACAAGGTCAGCTGGCACACCTACAGGGGATAAACAGTTGAAAGACAAACATCCCTCAATTTAAAAGAGTCTCTGCCTTTTTATCAAATCTATACGGGATTCAAAAGACTCCCCATGAAGAGGAGTCCTTCCTGCCATTCAAGAAGACAGACTCCAACCAAAAAGAGAGTTCTTAAAAGATAAGGGACGTTAGATTCCTCAAATGAGAGAAGACATAACCTCCCAGAATAAACGCAGGATCTTAGAGTCCATTCCTCACCTAGTATCCATTGAAAACACTATAAAAAATGAGTCTAGAGAAAGACAAAAGATACGCAACATCAGTCCTTGTACATACCTTCAGATCCCTTCCAACAAATACTAACTTAAGTATCAAATGGTCAACCCCTAGAACTCTCCCTCCGGTCTTCAACTTTCTTTCTCAGGTCTTCCAACTTGTAGAATTCTCACTTGAAGTTCTAGAGAGCTGAGTCAACACTACGTTAACCTGTCGATGATGTGGCAATCTAGAGATAACCTCTTCTTCTAGATGTTCTTTCTCCCCGGGTGAGCTGTTTTAACTACGCTAAGATGGTTTGATAATGGTCAAGTTGGATCACTCATTGATTGACCTGGCTGCTCATGTAACAGGTTGGTCAGTCTAATCTCCAGTTCAATTGATTTTCTCCTAAAGCTGTGGACTTATATTCTAAGGGGATCTTGATCTAGGTATTATCATAAACCATGTATCTAGAAGAGATTTCATATTTATAAACAAAATTCTAAACAATGTTAAACCAATTATGGTTTGGGAGCCTGTATCAGTTGTATCAAGAAATTCGTAGCTTAATGCCAAAAAATTCATTGAAACCAACAAATAATGTGAATCAAACATAACACGATGTCTAAGAATCATAATTTAAGCATTGATGTTTATTGTTTAAGTTTGGGGAAGAAAACCCTACCTAATCACCCCTCTAAAGTTTAAATTCATCTGAAATCTCACTCCGACCCCAAACAAATCACACGAAATCAAATTACACAATTCTTTTTAACTTGAGCTTAAACTTTCTAACACCATTTTACCAATTTAATCAACACAACTAATATAATATAAGCTAAATTAGAATTAATACACATGGTCTTACAAGCTATTATTTAAATCATAAATTTGATTATAAACTATATATATGGCAAACAATTTTATAAGGAGAGACTTTGAGAATCCTTAACACTCTATTTTTTAATTTCTTAGTATTTTGAATTACTTAATTACATTTCATAAATTTTCTCCAATCATATTTTAACATGCGACTCTTACAACTACTTATCTTTTTTCCACTAAATACTCGTTATTTATCTAAACTTATCTAGAAAATTGCTTTTGTTGCCCAACAACTTTTCATAATTATTTATCTAATTTTTCAAGTCTAGGAATGAGTTAGGAAAAAGGTTTAGAAAGAATAATTTATATAACAAAGTACGATACAATTTAAATCTCAAAAGATAAACAAAATGACTTTTGCTTTTAGCAGTTAAATTTTTTTAAAATTTTTACTTTAAAGTTAATTCAACGGCTAATATTAACACCTAAACTTAATAGGGAAAATAGGCCCTTAAGGGTGTGTTTGAAGTGATTTTTTTAAAAGTGTTTATAAGATTTATAACTTCTAATAAATATATATTTTTTTAAAAGTAGTGTTTGAAACCGTCCCAACACCACCACCGTCGCCATCGCAACACCACCACCACCATCACCACTGTCACTGCCCCCACTACCACCACTATCGCCACCCCCCACCCCCACCACCACCATCACTAACTCCCCACTACCACCATTCCCACTACAACCACCCCTACCCTCATCTCCATCATCACTGTTACCACCACCATTGTCATTGCCACCACCACCACTGCTGTCGCCGCCTTATCACCACCACCACCTCACCACTATCATTTCCACCCCCACCACTCTCATCACCACTGCCACTGCCCCACCGCCACCACTGCCCTGTCACCGATTGCTACTACTGTCGTCCATTGTCACCATCGACCACCATCATTGTAATGTCCCAATTTTTCGGACCCGTTACTTGATTAAATTAATTGATCAATAATAAACCACAAATAAATTTTCGAATATAAGACCAGAGCTCTAGTTGTCTCAATAAATTTATAATCATAATTTTGATCTCCAAATACCAATAAAATAATCTCCTCAATATAAAAACGAGTTTGTTCAAATTATACATCACCCTAATAAATCTACAAAGTTAAAAATTATATCAAGATTCGTTTGTTTTCGATTCTTCAAATATCAACTCTGGTCCTTCTCTTCGAGATAATCCTGAAAAATATTAAAGGCGGGGAAGTATACAATATGACATGAAACAATATGCTCAACGAGAAAAGAATATGAATGATCAAATATCAAATAATTCAATCGATAAACGATCATAGATAAAAGAATCAAAAATTCAATTCGATAAGTCACATAGCTCAATATCTATCAAACTTAGTCTTATACTCGGGCCCTTTTGGTGACATAACAAATGACACCTAGGCATTTAAAATTCATACTGATATCGAACCATTACATCCCTCAGGGCTATAATCACAATTGCACCCCGCAGGGCCATAACCACATTTTACCAATTATACCCCCAAGTACATTTTGTATATGTATCAATCAATCCCAAAGTATTTAGCCCAATGTACACATACAAGTCAATCGATAACATTGATAGAATTTCATATAAATCAGAATAATCAATAGGATTATAAAATTTCAGATAATGAAATGACACTTTTTACAAAGAGATTTAAAAGACAAGAGTATATTGTATACTACCCCTTACCTCAAATCCATCAATGACTTTAATAGATGCGAAATTCGAAATACCCCGAATCAAATAGTCAAATTTGATAACAATCTAAAATAAAATCACTGCACAATTTTTTATCTCAAGATCTCATAATTTTTTTTTCTTCTATTTCATCTATCTCTCTCTTTCTTCTCTTCCCTTCTCTCTCTTTTTCCTTCTCTCTTTTTCCTTCTCTTTGTGCCGATCAAATAGCCTGGCTTGGCTATTTATAGCAAAATCTTGCTCGGAGACCAAGCATCTTATGAACACTTGTCCATTTGTTTGGCCATTCTTTTTTTTTTTCTTTCCTTGCACGTTTTTCATTTGCATCACTTAACACCTGCACATATATATTCATTCATTCATTGTATATATATTTATTCATTATATTATTAAGAAACTTGACCTAAATTATAATTATTTGATTCATTTTCACATAAAGAGTTTATATTTGATATTCATTTGTTCCTAAAAAAAATAAATCTCAATTATATATAATCATAATTAATGACATAATTAGCGTGTCAATGATTAATTAATATACGGGTCGTCACAATCATCATCTCATTCTTATATTTATTACCACTACCACTTTCATTCCACTACCACCGTCGACACCAACTATCACCATTATTGATCATCACCACCAATTGCCACCCATTATCATGACTCACCACCACTCGTTGTCACCTACTATCGCTGTCAACCACTATCATCCATCCTCCACCACACCTACCACCAACACCACTACTGCTATTTGTCACCACCTATCACATTGTCGCCCAGAAGCACCTGTAATCGCCCACCACCACTGTCAATCGCCATCACTGTCACTTATCACCATCCACACTCATCATCACCACCACCGTCACTCATTACTACCACTACTACTATCATCACCCAAAACTCACCACCACCATCACCGTTACTATCCACAACTGTCACCATTACCTCAGTTGTCACCACCCACCACAACCATCACCATCTCTTACCACCACCACTATCATCGCTCATCTCCACTATAATTTGTGTTTAAATTCATTTATTTTCTCCTCTATGTTTGTAATTTGATTTTGGGTGTGAATACAAATATATTTATTGTTAAGTATTTTTTTTTATTATTTTATACCTTCAGGCATAGGCGATATGTACTATAAAATAAGATAGCGGGTTGTAAGTCACATGCATCGCATAGGCGGCTAGTCTCATTTATAAATGTAGGGTAAATTATACTGACATCCTTTATAGATTGATCTAATTATAGATATACCCTCTCAATTTTTTGAAATTACACTAACACCCCTATCAGGTCTTGTCCCTTAATAAATATAACAAAAAATGCGATTTTTCATAATTACCATTATCATACATCATTTTTTACTTATCATCCTCTCATATTTTTAAATACTAATAAATTGGGTCATTTTCAGGTTCAACCTATCAAATTTGAAATTGACATGATCAACTCGTTTATTTAATCATGTCGAACTTCTTCTATCTTTTCGTTGTATATTAATTCAAACAACACGAATTGACATGATCAACATGTTTAACTAGTATTATAAACATAAAATATTAATTATTTGTTACTGTTTATCAAACACTAACATAATTATTATATAAAAAGATATTTTTGCTCATTATTATTGCTATATTTACTAAGTTATTTTTTAGTTTATAATAAAAGTATGAACATAGATTTAATTAAGTGATAATATAATATTAAACTTAAATCTTAGCGTTAAATTTTTTTATTCAAAGTTTATATATATCAACACAAATACGAACTCACCCGCACGGGTAGCCTAGAAGTATGGACTTGAACCCAAACGTATCATAGACCTGGACGTCAGAGATTCGACTCTCGTTGATGTCTTTCGGGCTTAATCGATACCTGTGGTTTGTAGGTGATTACAGGTATCCGAGGTTTACTATCGGAGGGATGGATCTAAAGTGGCTCTACCATGGAGAAGTTTCATGTTATGAAAAAAACATGAATACAAATACGAACATAACACGAAAATAAACAGATTAGCCTAATTTTGGTCAGGGGTAATATGAGTATTTAAGTGTAAAAAAATGATAATGTAATCACTTTTTTGATACTATCAATAATGATGCTAACCATATGAGTACTTTGTAAAATGGGTAGGTAAACAATAAGAGGTGTCACTGTAATTTTAAAAATTTGAGAGTGTGTCTCTATAATTAAACCAATCTACAGGGAGTATCAATGTAATTTACCATATAATGTAGAATATTTTGGCCTCCAAAAGTAAATTAATCCTCAATTAAAGTGTCTAAGTCCTACAACTCGCTTTAATCACCTCCGACAACCAAACCAATCCATTGTGGATTGGAATAGAATTATGATTTTCCTTCCTATGTATGAATTTTATTGTCAAACCAAAGTGGGGGAGGTTGACGATGCAGTGTAATTGACTCGAATTAAATGGAAGCAAATTATAATTGCATCCTAAAAACTGGGGGCCTATGCACAACTAATTTCATAGAGTTCTTGCCTCCCTTCCTGTGTGTTAACAACCCCCCCCCCCCCCCCCCCCTCTCTCTCTCTCTCTCTCTCTAGAGGGGTGTTAAATTTGGCGTACCCTTCCACGAACCCTATACCCTCCCTGCAGGTGAGAACAAGCCTCTTCTGAACACCAATTGTATGGAACTTTCCCCAAACCCACCTTCCCTTCTCCATGTGAGGACAAATCTCTTAATAATACAATTTTGCGAAACTTTCGTGGAGTAACAGCCACATCCACATGAACTTCAGAGCCAGGTGTCATCGCTCGTACTTGGTAGACCTTCAGCTCCACTTGCAGGTTTAGTCGGCAATTTGGATAAATTTTAAAAAAATCATTTGTAATTCTTACTACTCATCAACATGACATAAAATTGACAAAAAATTAGTGGAGGATTTAAATTTAGCAAATTGAGTGACAAACGAATGGACGGACACATTAGATCACTCAATTCAATAATTCAACACGAATTTCCATGCATATGGCCAAATTTGATAAATATAGCTCATATATAATACAAAACCCAACAAAGCATCTATACACAAGGATGTACCATTATGAACATAACTTCTTTTGGATTTTCCTTTCGTGGGTATTCTCTTTATCCTTTTTTTGTCCTCTCTCTTTCTCTTTAGAAGTCCCTCACTTCGTTTTCAAAGGCAATTAACTTTTTTAACTTGCGTTTTTTAACTCAATTAACTTTTTAAACTTCGTTTTGTAACTCAATTAACTTCTTATCTCTTCAATTGAATTGATAGTTTTAAAAGAAGAGTGAGCTTAAGAGATTCTATTGGACCTGTTGCGAGAGATAATACAAACTATTTCTTTTATTTTGACGGCTTTTGTGTTTTATTGGGGTTTTTTTTTTTTTTTTTGCAAATATTTTAGTTTCTATTATTGATTCCATCTTTTTTTTTTCTTTTGCCAAAGTAGGTGATAGAAATTTGATTATTTGAATTTGAATTAAAATATGATGGTTGGATTGGTTATTACCACCAATAAAAAAATTAATTGCACATCAATCTCTTTGAAATATTAAGCACAATGAACAATTTTTGAAAATTGGATGGTGAGGAGGAGATAAAGGAGTTCAATTGTGCAAAATGGATTTATTCAGATGATCTTAAATCTTGACTTGGCATTCATGGATAGTTTTACAATGGGTTTTTCTTTTTCTTTTTCTTTTTCTTTTTTGTTGCCTCCCTTTTTGTACATTGCTCATTTATATGGGTTGCACCTCTAATTGGTAAGCCTTCGCCCTTCTATTCAACGGGCTATTAGAGAAGTAGCTTCATTCCTCGACTTCTTTGCTTAGTCAGGTTTCCTTGTTCTTTAGTGTAGTCTCAATCTATAGTTTAAGACTCCATTCCTTATAATCTAGTCTATATCCACAGCTGGCATAATTCCGTACCAACCTCTTTTTCTTTGTAAACGGCTAAGTGACTTTGTAACCTAAATGTACTTTATTTCTTACCTGGCCTTCGTCGGGCTTTCGTCCCTTTGGCTATTGCTCATGGCTTAGTATAGAGCCATGGTTTCACCCCTGGGCAAAGGACAGAATTGTAAAATTAATTTGCAACTCGTAAGAGCGTTGCGGTTACAGGTGAAACTAAAAATGAAAGCCCAACTTTGGATGACGGCATTTTAAGTGTTAGAGAACATCAATAACTACTGTACTGACTGGTGAGTTTTTTTAAATAATTTCTTTAAAAAATAAAAAGTATATTTAATTACTATTTTGAAAAAATAATATACATTTATTCTAGTATGAATATATTACACTTAATATTCATGTATATGTATTTTGGCATACATTTGATTTAGGTTATACGGAAGAGAGTATGCCCCAATAAGAAAATCATAAAAAAAACAAAAGCACAAAAATAAACATTAATTAAAAAAAGTAATTAAAAAGCGACAAAGCATAGAAAATAACATTTCAAAAAAATGTTACTAAACAATACCTTCAGCTTTCAGTTCATGTTCATGTGTGCGTTCATTGATATCTTCTTTTTATAAAACAAATCGACTTCAATTTTTGAATAATCCACATCACTTCTGCTTCTATTATAACAAAAGATACCCTTTTTATGTTAAAAAAAAACCCATATCTATAATTATGATTTTACGTATGGACAATTCCTCAGTATCTTGTGTGTGTATGTGAGAGAGAGAGAGAGAGAGAGAGAGATGGAATCATCCAAAAGTTCCAAGCTACACACAGAGAGACCCAGTCAACTGTCTACCTGCACCCGAGATCAATCGACTTATAAACAGTCAGAGAGACATAAAATAGTAATCTTTTAAATTAGCAATCTCTACAGCAAAGATCAAAGGTCAGAGAACATGATAACACTGGTCAATTGTTTCACATTTTGGGTGTAAGCCGCTTTAAAACAGAGATAATGCGATATCAAAAAAACCAGAGATAATGCCAGTGGTCTCTTTCATATTCTAACACGAGAAAGTAAATGAGATCAAATCCCCTGCTTAGAGCTAAGACAGCCAAATATCAACAAACCAGTAGCTTCAACTAAAAGAGATCCTGAATACCACAAGATTTATAGCTAATTTGGCAATGTTTGATTTTGCCTCAGAAGAGATGTACAAGGCGAGTTTGGTTTTTCTCAAAACGACGGATACAAGTATGCAACAAGCCATGCCATCGAGAAAATGTAGTCATGTGATAAGGAAATTATCCATCCTAGCACAAGAAGCGCATAAATGATTTCAAATCTAAGGAGATTAACTGCGGTGGGACTAGTCTTATGAATCTTCACCCAAAGGCAGAGGACTTTAACAATCAGAAACATGTAGAGCAGCCAGGAGATTGTTCGTCTAGAATTTACGGGCAAACTTTCTTCAGGAGATCTACCAAGTGTGGATTCTCTCTTTCTCAGAAAGCAATGACAGAACATACAGAAACTTGAATTGTCAACCACAAAAGAGAAAAAAATACATACGGGTAAAGAATTGAGATGCCATTCATCATTCAGGTCAACACTGTTCCAAAAAACAGGATACTTGAAACACCTATTGGCAATGACTACTCAATACCAGGGCTTTTTTTGCACAAGATAATTAGGCGAAGAGATAAGGTCCAACAATTCCTACAGTTACAAATTTGCAATGATGCCTACAGATTCAATTTGAATTAAAGAAGAACAAGAACTGACTTGAATTGGTTCCAAGTAGAGGCTCGCAACGTTATCAATATTTCAATTTAGACGAAAAGAAATCTCACATGTAAGCAACAACCAGAGTTCCACAAAAATAAAACACTTAAAATGGAAGACCTACAAAAAGCAATAAATATAAGTTTATGGTAAACCATGTCCAATAAAGTATCTTTCACGCTAATATAGGCCCAAAACAAAACCATTTCAGTGATTCAAGATGGTATGACAATGAAATATTAGAAACTTTAGTACCATCTTCAGTTCAGTGACGATATCTACTCCGGTCCCGATCACGATCTCGGTCCCGTCCGTAATCTTTATCTCGATCATAATCATTATCTCGGTCTCTATCTCTTCTGTTATCCCTCTCTCGACTTCTGCTCCGGCGCTTATCCCTGTCGTGTCGTTCTCTATTCCTGCTGCTTTCCCTCTCATCCCGTTCCCTCCCTTTGTCTCTGCTTCTTTCTTTCCTCTCTCTGTCACTCATACCTGTAACATTACGGTAAGCCAGTGGCATAACTGAAATTTAGAGGTAGCCGTAATTTTCAAAATGTTTTTTTTTTTGATGCCTTAGATGAATCATCCAGGTGAGTCACATTTATATCCTCTTTTATCGTAAAAATGTGACTTCAAATAAAATAGAAGAGAATCATAATACTGAGATCGAACAAACCAAGCCCTTAAGCCTCCCAGTCTCAAGAGACTAAAGATGTCATAAACAACACCCTGTCAACCAAATCATCAAGAGAACTGGAGGAAAGGCAGACAAAATTAATCTAGAAGAATAATACAAATTTTCAAATGTGAAATGCCAAAATTAGGTTAAAAAATGCTTTTTACCTACCAAGATTCGGCTTCACATGACAATTTCAAAATGGAACAAATTTCTGCCGTGATGATTACAGTTTTAAACATCAATTACAGGTGAAAAATGCAGGCACTTTTTTTCCCGGAAAGTAATGCAGGCAATTGAGACAGTTACTAGACATCCTACTTTCGAGTAAGCTTCTAAAATGAGTTCCACATTCACTGCACTGACTATATAAATGCAAAATGCCTCAATCTATGGTTTACGTATAAAATTGAACGAGATCATATGATGCTGCATTGTTGACTTTCAAAGCTGGAAGTACATGTATATAATGTTCTACTACAGCTCCGTTTCGTCACCTTGTAAATATCACTCCACCCTATAGGATGCTTATTTAAACCAACTCTTATTTTCACCATTAATACATGCATCATGCAGACTTTGAAAAAAACAATCAACCATAAAGACCATCATATGTATTCATTCAAGGATATAAAGCAATACTACTCGTCATATATTTGACCCTTTAAAAGTCACCATGTGCTAGAGCTGTGGCAAAGGTTCAGCCCCTCACAGTTATGGTTTCTATATTTTTATTACTCCTTGAGGACAAACCTGCGGTCAATCAGAGCACACTAAATCATCAAAAAGAAAGGCCAAGTTTATCATCTAAAGCAAAGTGCCAACAAATATTAGGGGAATCCATAAAGTGTCTTCTAAGCAACGACTACTAGGCAACCTGAGTTCAACGTAGTCACTATATCTTGCAAAATGACAAACCACGCTTTCACAAATTATGTTCTGCAAAAGCCTATGCAGGTGAACCAGTGTTCCAAAGCTCAGACCAATGAAGTTTGAAACCAAAGTACAGGATCATAATTACCTGATTGTGGTTCTTTAAACAATATGTCGGTTGAAATAATAAAAGCGATATTAGGGTTTGTAAAAGGGAAGAAAAATGATAGAGGCTGGATAAATTGCTCGACAGCTAAATCAGATTGGAGCAAGATTGTATGAGAAAATATTATCCATATTTTAGGGACAAGGAGCGGAACAACCTCTCGATCTACCTACTGCTGCCCAGGAAGAAAAATGTCGTCCAAGCATTCCCTATTGCTCCGATCTCCCCTACGCCTAGGACGTTATCTGGGCCAAGAGCCATAGTTAGCTGTTGTTTCCATTTTCTTGTTTTTTCCTCGTTGTTAATATCAACAAGACCCAACCAGATGATGCATGCTGATTGGTAATGAGAGGAATCTCAGTACCTACATACCCAAAAGGGGGTAGAGAAAGAGAGAGAGAATAATGTGTATGAACAGTGTTGCCCTACACTCTTATTTATAATGAACACTATCTTGGATAATTACAATATTATCCTACATAAATATAAAATATAAAAATAAGAACTCTAACACTCCCTTTAGCTGGAGCATAAAGATAAAAACTGCTCAACTTAGAACAAAGATTATTGAAGATATCATGAGACAATGGATTGGTAAAAAATTATCCACTTGATCACCAGACTTGCTATATGGAGTGACAGAAATAGATCGTCTATCAGTATGATTACCTACCCAATCAATATCAGAAAAGCCAAAAATAGTCGCACATGGTGAAGACTAATATAATAATCCTTTCCTTGATACTCTTTTAAGATACGGAAGGATACGACAAACAAACTTCCAATGAGACTTGCGAGGAGTATGCCTAAACTAATTAATCCCACCAACTGCAAATTTAATATCAGGACACATAACTATGAGATAGATCAGTTTAGCAACCAATCTTTGTTAGCGTCCTATGTCATCAAAAACTTCCCCACTCTGAACATCTAACTTGACTGTAAAATCCATAGTGTAATCAACAAGACGAACGCCAAGAGTTCTAGTTTCAGATAGTTTCAGATAGTAAATCTTATACGTACTATCATTGGCATAAATTGATACCTTCCTTTGAACAAGCAACCTCAATTTTGAGGAAGAATCGAAGAAGACTCCAGATATTTAGAGTGAAACTACTTCCAAATGGAGCTTAAAACTGGCAATACTATTAGAATATCATCACCACTAATGATTATGTCATCAACATATACAATGAGAATGATAACCCCTCGGATAGAACGACGAATAAACACTGAATGTTCTAAAGTAAAGCGTTGAAACCCATATTGAAGGGTCATAGTACTGAATTTATCAAACCAAGCACGTAGTGAATGTTTCAGACCATACAATGCTTTCTTCAAGCAACATATTAATTATTCCATACCAGCAGTAACAGAACATGGGGGCTAAACCATTTATACCACTTTCTGTAAATTTTCATGTAAAAAGACATTCTTTATGTCCAGTCGATGCAAGAGTCAATCACAAAAGCTACAACCGAATTTAAAACTCTAACAGAATTAAGTCGAGCAAGGGGGAAAAATATCTCACAGTAATCAACACCATATGTCTGGGTGTTGTCCTTTGGCGACCAACAGAGCCTTTAAACGCTTGATAGAGTCATCAAGAAGATATTTTAACCGTAGACCTAATAACAACAAACGGGGTACGTCCCAAGAGGCAGTGAAGTAAGATCCGAAGTTTAATTTTCTTGAAGAGCTTTCATTTCTTCATCCATAACTAGTTTTTATCTAGGAGATGTCAAAATCTATGTCAAGGAAACTAGGAACAACCACAGATTATAAGATAGATGCAAATCAATGAAATGATGAAGAAAGTCGATGCAATGAAACAAAATTAGAAATTGGATGTTTGGTACAATTACGAGTACACTTCTTCCGTGGAATAGACAAGTTCGAAGAAGATGGAGTAGTAGAAGGCTCAGGAGGAAAGAGCCAATTGACTCAAGTGATGGTTGTGGGGCAGGAACATAAGGCACAACCTATTTGTTCTTGGTACCCAGATGAACCAGCAATGAGGGGTTAGAAGATAAAGAAAATGCATACAATTTGACATAAGAGACACTAACAGCTCCCCCTGACTAGAAGAAACTAAATCTGAGAAAGAATTATGTTCTGAAGTAGGAAAGAAAGAAGATGACTCAAAGAAAGTAACATCGACACTTACATAGTATCGGTGAGAGCTCAGGTCATAACATAGATAACTTTTCTGAGCATGAGAATATTCCAAAAAAAACACTTGACCAAGTGGAGAGAAAGCTTATCCCAACCTAAACCAAAAGTACCTGAATAAACCCAACACTACCAAAAACACGAGAAGTTAGACCAAATAGTGGTATAGTAGGATAAAGTAATTAGAAGGGAGATTCGTTACACCTAAGACAGAGGAAAGCATCTGATTAATAAGATAAACGGAAGTAAAAATAGAATCTGCTCATTAGTGCTTAAGAACATGCGTATTAAACATTAAAGTATGATTTGTATCCAATATATGAAGATGTTTTCATTCGGCTGTACTATTTTGCTGAGATACATGAGGACAAAAATTTTGATGAATGATACCATGTTCAACACCAAAAAAAAGTGCATAAATGATTAAACATACTCAAGAGCATTGTCATAACGAAATTATTTAATACGTTTATCAAAATGCACCAAGATTTCATTATAGAAGGTGACAATTTTTTGGTAATTCAGAATGATCCTTCATGAGAAACGACCATGTCATGCGATAAAAATCATCTACTAAGATAACAAAATACTGAAATCTAGAAATACTCTTTCTTCTTGCATGACCCCAAATGTCTGAATGAAAAAGATTAAAAGGACTAGATTCACACTACTATTACTACTAGAAAAAGAAATACAGTGATGCTTGCCCAACTAACAAACCTCACATTCTAACATCAAATAAGGACTCAAAGTAGGAGAACTTGACAAAACTTTTGAAAGAAGGATGCCCCAATCAAAAATGTCACTGGAGTGGAGAAACTATAGCACTCAAGGTAGGTACTGATTCTCTAGAGTCCAAGTAATAAAGACTATTCTTCTCATGCCCTAAACTAATTACCTTCTTCGTCTAGAGGTTCTGAAAAACATAAGAAGATGAGGAACATTGTAAAGCTTTAGTTAACTATCTAACAGATAGCAAGTTGAAAAGAAAATGAGGAACAAATAAACCAGAGGTTAAGGAATGGATTTAGTGGAATGAAGATTACCAATTCCACACACTGGACGAAAGGAACCATCAGCTAATATAGTATGAGAAAATTAGAGAAGGTTAAAATTAGAAAACATAGAAAAAATATTAGACATGTGAGTATTGGCTCCCAAATCAATGATCAAAGAAGGTGAGGCTAATTGGGCCGCCACCTATGTAGAATTACCTGCATGATCCAAACCTGCAACAGTAGACCCCTGAGAAGATAGCAAAGATAATTGTTGGATGAGCTGATTGAGCTGAGAAGTAAAATGGTCCTAAGAATCTGACGTAGAGGTAACAAGTGCTAAAGTAGATGTCTGAGATACAGATGGAGCCGAATTATCCAAAACCTGATTAGCATAGGCTGGTCTCCCATACTTATTCCAACAATAATCCTCCGTATGTTCAGTGACCCCATAATAAGTACATTTCCACTCAGAGCAACTGTCACGACCACCGCGTCTTCCACGACTAGAACTTCTACCACAATGGCTACTACCCGAGGATGAATGTCGACCATTGCCATTACGACCATCATCACTAGAAAGTAAAACAAAGAACTTGAGAGAGTGTGAAGGAGTCCCACAAATCAAAGACGCTCTCTAAAGATGGGAATAAGCATTGGCAGTAATGGGAAGTTTCTCTTCCCACTTGCCAAGATCTGATCTTTGAACATGTTATATTCGGAATTTAAGACTAGACAAGAATAGTGCAACTTGAAACTCTTCACAATATCATCTCTGTACCTCTGGATCCGTACTCAATGGCTAATAAAACAGAAGTTCCTCCCATTACCCTTTCAAAGTGTCATAATGATCAGCCAAACACTAACTCCCTTGCTTATACATTCAAAAAGTTCATAGATTTGAGATACATTATGTTCTTGAGAGTACATCTCCTCAAGAGAATCCCAAATATTTTTAGTTGTATCAAAGAGTTGAATATTCGAAACTACACTAGGCTCCAAACTGTGCCACAATTAGGTCATTACCAAAGAATCACTCCACCAATTTTCAAAATTTTTGGAAGTCTTAAGAGGGGGACTTTTAATCAAACACTAGACTTTTAATTAAATAACAAACTTTCTATTTAGCAAACAAAAAAAACTTTGATGGCATAAAACCAAGAATAATAGTTGATTCCATTTAGTTTCACCGAAGTAATTTGCCGAATCTGATCATCTAAAGAATAAACCTAGTGAACCTGACTATCCATTAGTGAATCCTTTATCTCATCCAACGTTGCCTTAAGAAAACCCACAAGCACGACACAACAATTTGCAACTAGCAATAAGGTCAACCAGAAGACTGGTGGACAAGAGAGGTCCACTGACAATAGAATCAACCAATAGCAACATAGGCAAACGACTAGTCTGCTCTAAAAAAAACAAAAAATGAAAGTTAGTCATAATTAGAGGTGTTAAAATATGACACGACACGAAATTAGAGATTTAGAATTTTCTTTAAGCTACTCGTTTCATAAACGAGTGGACCCAACATGACTCGATTAATAAATGAATCGGATATGGATGAAATCAATCAAAAGAAATATAAGACAAAACTCTTTTATATATCGGTTATACACAGTTCACACACGACACGAGCCCGATATGATACGACTCGTTAGACACAAATTAATATACGAATCGAACATGAGTGAAGTATTTTTTTGACACAAATCCATTAAAACTCGACACGAACCCGTTTCATTTGACATAATTGACAGGCCTAGTTGTAACACACAACTGAAATCAAGACTTGGTTCACACACAAAGCCTCAAAGATCAACCAGAAGGCCAACAAAACACCAGAAACAAGACCCCTAAGAGTCCCAAGTTCAAATCCGAGCAACATGCATGTGGAGAAGGGCTACAGAGCATGGTTCAAGGTCGCAGTATCGGTCATCAACTCGAAGAGCTCTAAGACACATTGGTCACGACGTCGCGGCTCAGTATCAGGCAATACGACCTAAAAGAAAATGTTGAATATGACGAAAAATTCAGATCATATCGCGGCGTTGTAGAACTATATCGGCCAATTCAGTGATGATATTTCAACGACTCATGATTAACTCGGATACAACTCGACCAAATTGTACGAGACTTGGAATTTATACGTATCGTGTAATGATATCGTCTCTGAAGGTGCCGAGATGGATACGACTCGACTGACTCGTATCGGTATCGACCGATACTTTGGACCATGCTACAGAGAGCAAGTCAAATCTATCAGCACCTATTTTTCACCCAAAAAAACATCTTAAATTAGCCAAACAATGGTTGGTCAAGCCACGAACCTCCTCCTCGGGCTAAATCGATACCCATGGAAGCTGATCCAAGCAATGCAACAGTTGAAGAAGATCCAAAAGCAATGGATCGAACAAATAGCCTTTTTTCGAAAAAAAAATTCAAAAATTCAAAAATACAAAATTTATACTAATTTAAAAAGTATGTATCTTGAAAAGACTTTTGTTTTCCTCTTAACACTTCGTAATTTTCTAAACTACCGTGAATAAATATATTATAAATATTGTTCATCATAAAAGCTCATCTATTTATTGAGCAGGTGCAATGGCCTTTCATCTACTCTCTTTTTCTCATCAACAATCACCATCCATTACACTTTCAATGAATCCAGATTAATATATTAAGTAGAGAACAGGAAAAGAGTCAATTATTAACCATGATTTCTTAGTCTTTTGTATTCCAATAACCAAAACGTCATCTTTTCTGTCGTTCATTTATGTCCTTCTCGCCCATTCAATACGTTATACACACATATCTATATCTATACTAATAATAAAAGGCAGCTTAAAAAAAATTTCCTAATTTTTCCTCAACTAATATTATAAGGTCAATTTTATCCTTTTAAGTCCATGTCATTGTTTAATGCTATACCTTAACCATGTAACTATTAGTATTTTTGCTCTAGGTATATTCATCAATTGAATTGGCTAAATTTGATCATTAATGAATTAATTGCATATCTATCTATCTATCTATCTATATATCTATCTATAGCTATACTACTACAAAATGTCAATAAACGTGTTAAATTTTTGTTTTAGTATAATAACTTTAATAAAATAATTAATACCGATATTACTCTTTTAAAGCTAAAATAATAACATTGATGGCATTTGTAATTGTGGTTATTTTGTAGACTATGGATCTTATTTTGTAGACAATGGAACTGTTGACTGTTGGGCTACACATTTAATATATCATCTATAATTTATAATCAGGAACTTACGTCTTCGTTATTACTTACAAAGCAAAAGACCTTGTGTATTCTACTGATATTTGATTAGAAGTTTAATATCAATCTTAAGGCTAAAGCTAATGCCATTCATCTGCAGTAAATATTTCATTTAATGGAAAAATCTTTCATATTCTTGGCCCTATTACAAATTAAAAGAAATATTTTATTATATCAGTTACGAAGAAAAAAAGACTCATGTACTCATTCATGCATTAAACCTTACGAATTCTATGTCGATTCAAGCATTAGACCCTAGCTACTCATTTACTAATTCTATTAATAAATTTTCAATGTATATTATTATGAAGTGGAACTTGATTAAATTCATCTCTTCCAATTAAAATTCTTCTTTCTTGGTTGCTCTATTTTCTAAATTGTCCTCCTTTTTTTGAAGCAGTGGTGGTGGCACTAGGCGTGGATAATCCCGAAAAGAACAGAGCACATATTAACAAGTGATTTGACTTAATTAATAGAAAAGGTTGAAAAAGCTAGCATCATCGAAACACGGTGAGATCTTACACGGCTTCCTTTGGCTTCCATGAGCCCTTTAAGGTTCTTTGCAATGGAACTTTTGTATATTAATTTGTTATCAATAATATGACTCCAACCAACACTGTTCTTCAATAACCAATTACTGTTGCTACATTCTCTTTTTTCCTAGGTGTTGCTACGTATTATTTAAGAATATAAGATGATCTCCTTCACTTTAATTTCTTTTCAATGATTTCTTGTCCTTTCGTTTTTTTTTTCTAAGTTTTTTTTTTTTTTTTTGAAGGGACATTTTAGATGTGTTCTTAGTCGACTTAAGGAGCCTGGTAACTTCCATGATGATTCTCCTAATGTAGCTTCTCACCATATGATTGTGAGATCACAACTCCTCTCCCAACTTCTCATTCTAGCTCCATTTGAAGGAAAAATTTCTAAATAAATTATGGTGATGCTAACTTACCCTCATAAAATTGAAAGTGTGGTGCAACGTGTTCTTCACTATCTTAAAGCATACCATATGTGCTATTCCCGTGATGGAGAAAGTCAAAGTTATCTAGAGTTTACACTTTTTCCCAGTTGAACATTTTGTTTGTTGCAGATATTGTTTGGAATTTCATTATGTTTTCTTCGACTACCAAGCTTAAGTTTTGCATAACCTATAATATTTTATTAGTGTTTAGAGAGTAATCGAATTGTGCACAAGTGTCAAATTTTGTTTATTTGAGTGCTAATAATGGTGGTTGATGCTTCTCCATCCAAGGAGGGGAAAGATGAGGAGGCTATCTGGTAGATAAAGACTGGACAACATGTCCTTACTTCAAATATCAGATAAGAAGAGATTCTGACGTCTGAGATTGCGTGCCTTGCGCGATCAGTTGATAGGGTAGCAAGAAGAAACTAGTTATAGATCAGAGCTTACCAAAAAGCTAGTTTCCATCCATAAGCATATTCTTGTAATATTATTTATTTTATACTTAGAAGTAATATTACGATATACCAAAATATTTCTCACATTACCATTTTTAGTTGTACATACTCACATTACAATTGTTCTCTATCAGCAATTGCACACTCCTCGATATCATCTAACAACCTTACCTGACCTGAAGGCTACATTTCAAAGTTTTTTTCTATTTGTGGCCTTCAAAAAATCCACAAATTATCTAGGTCCTATCTTGATAGTAGATATACTAAACCATACTATTTAACATATGTATTATCTTCAAGTCTTCATTTTACAGGCTTATGTACAAAAGAAAATCAAAAATAAAAACCAAAAGTGCAAGTCACAATAATTTACGTGCAAAGCACATGGGCATCAACTTAATTCTATGTAGATGGCTTCAAAAAATACCATAAATGACATCTTAAAAATTCGAGCAAATCCATGCGTTAGTTCCTGTCACCGGAAAATGATGACGTCAACGCCAATTGTAGAGGTTCAAGTTCTTTTGATTCTCCGGTTACTGAATATTTATTCTTCTTAGATTATTTGCTTTGATACCTAACTTGAAATAATAAAAGCGATATAAGGGTTTGTAAAAGAGAACAATGATAGAGGCGGGAGAAAGAGAGAGAATAATCTTTGTATGAGCAATGTTGCCTACATTCTCTTATTTATATTGAACACTATCTTAGGTAATTATAATATTACCCTACACAAATATAAAACATAAAAATAAGAACTCTAACAATATAAACACGTCAAAAATACATATGCTCATTGCTAAAATGTCCAAAAAATAAGAAAATCTTATCAATATAACTACAGTTCGAAATTAACATATTTTCAGTTCCCAACAACAACCATTAAAAGTAACAAATAATACCTAGTTCCTCCACCTCCCATCCTGCCCGTCCAGCACCAGGGAGCCCCTGACCAGCTTCAGCTTGCTGTGTTTTGGCACGAAACTTCTTCTTGAGGTTGCCAAACTCATCATACAGTTCACCATCATCCTGAAGTTCGGTCAAAGATAATGTTAGATCTGGAACTAAACATACCACTCCATGTACTGCTAATGCAAGTAGATCTTACTTCTTCGGCCTCCCGCCGGCGTCGTTTGGTTTCCTCTATTTCTTCTTCATCAAGTTCTTTGTAACCTCCGCCACGCCCTCCCCTATGTACGATCATAAACCAAAGGTTAGCAATATCCTAGATTGCAACAATTTGAAATTTTACTTACTGAAGTATGTTTGAAGCAATACTCATTACAATGATTTCAGAAATAAAATTAAACCAAATCCTATCAGAAGCATGTATACGAATAACTGATTTGGTGATTTTTTGTTAAAATCAGATATGCAAAAAATTATTCGTTTAAATCGTCATGCAATCGTGTATCATTAGATACATTAGCTATTTTCTCAGTGAAGCAAAGAAGGAGAAGAAGAAAATTAAGAAGCATGTGCATCCCAAAACAAAAGTGATCATATTATTAAAATTAAATATTAATAGCATTCAGCATCACAATGTTCATATTCAAGCACATAAGCTGAGACATAAAAGAAACATTAAAAGATAAGGTTAATCAGTCCAAATGTATCGGTGAAGCACTTTAAAGATGTTAGAAAAAGCCAAACCTTCAATATCTAATTTCCAAAACTTGGAAGAGAGACATTTCACAACAATATCCAGAGAACAGATAGAACTTTGGAATCCCATAATTATTTTAACAAATCATGACTGAAACAAAAACAGAAGTGTAACTACAGAAGCAGCACAAAAGCTAAAGAGTGGAAAGAATAAATAAATAGCACTCTAGTCGTCATATAGTACCTCACACCACCCTCACTGAGACCAGGTTTGTTGGTGTTGCAGATGTTGCATTTTCCACGCTTTGCCCAATTGATATTGCCACACCTAAGTCAACAATTAAAAAGCATATGGAAGAAGCAAAAGGAAAAGTAATACACAATAGATGTGATTGTCTGACCATCCCATGCTTTTCTAAACTCAACATGACATGAGACCGGACATCATATCCTCATCACGTACAGTTATTTGGGGGGAAAAAAAAAGACTGAACAAAATCCTAATCATGTCTAAATGTGAAATACACAAACTACTGTTTTAAGCTGATATTCAATCACCATTAATAAATTAGATTAGAATATTGAAAAGATAGTAAATTTTACAATTTATAATAATTTCAAAGCAACAATAGTATACCATCCCCAGCCAAATTAACCTAATTTTTTTTTTGGCAAAGCAAGGATGGCCTTTAAAAAAAATATCCTCCCCTGCATTCACACAACGATAAAATACACCAAGACAATTGGAAATTTTCAGCTGAAGCCAATTAATTTGAGAAAATATATTATGCAATATTACTACGTCAAATACATGATAAAAAAAAATAACAATGTGCACAGATCTATTGAGGGAAAATCTGCTTGCTCATAACACTAGGCAATTTACTAAATTTAGTTAATATACTACAAACAGTCAAAATATGACAACTCTAACTGCCAGGATTCATGTATAATATCCAGCAAATCCGATTGCATACACGTGAATAAAAAATTTTAAAACAAGCAGAAAGAATTTATAATCCAGACAAGTTATGCTGTGAAAAGGACTTGAATACAATAAACACCAGTTCGCCGCACTTCAAATACAACTCAACAAAGTGCAGGGAACTGGTAAGTCCATTTCAATTCAAATGGTTTATAAATATAGATGAATCTATGCATTAAGTGTATCTCATAAGTATTGAATCAGCTGATGAGATGACATTAAATCATGGCTGCTCATCATGCCAGGCTGACCCAGGCCAATTGACAGCTGAGATCACCCAGAGGCAAAAAATGACAGCCCAAGCTCCTATCACCCCACTATCTTAGCCAAGTTTAGTTCATCTTCGAAAGAGGATATTTTCCTAGCTCTGGCTAATATAGGTGTTCATCAATCCTGATTCAAGATCATTTTACCTTGCCCTTAAATGTAAAAACATCAAGTCAACTATCTTTCTTCTCCAAAACTTGAACTTCTTAAGATAATTATCTCTTTGGTTTCTATGTCAGGGATGAGATGTTGAAAACTGCAGATAATAGGCCCCAAGGGTTGATTGCATGGCCCATCTGGATATCCGGCTATACAACTTCAAGTTAACCCTTGCTCTCTGGGTCAAGTTCCATCACAGGTAAGCCATAATTAATTATAACAATATTCACCCACTTGCGAAATAACTGGGCAATAGAGACAAGGCAAGCCAAATGTAATGCAAATAAAATTAATTGTAGTAAAAAATGTTAATATGCTATAAAAGCAAAATCACACAGATAACGATTGAAATGCAACAACTTATGCATCAAATATAAATTTTCTTACATTGGACAGGGCCAATCATTTGGGCCAAAAAGACCTGGAGGACCACCAACTGCACGGCTAGCCCCCCCTGCGTCAGGAGCACCACGGCCCCTCCCCCGACCACCAGACCCAGCACCACCCCCAAAAGCACCAGCAGGTCGAGCGCTTCCACAACGGTTGCACACACCACGAAACGCAAAGTTTACATTGGAACAACTGCTACCAAAATAGAGCATTAAGAAGTCATTTTGAACAACACCCTGTTATGTACAGTACCATAAATCAACAAAGGCTAAAAAGAGCAAGAAAGAGCTGCTCACCAATTTCAGATCACAGACCTTGTATTCGGACATGTCCAGTCACCCTCTTGTTGCCATGCCTTTCCTGAAGCATCACCCCGACCTCTACCTCTACCACCGCTTCCATTTACATCCCTGTCACTTTCCTCTAGTCCACCAAAATCACCACCAGCATTCGGATCATTAACAAGATTCTCTGAGTTATACGAGTGGTCATCTTTGCTCTTTGACTCTGCTATAAAGACTCCAATGGTAGTTCCATGGAAGTCCTTGTTGTTGAACCATTCAGTGGCAGCTTGTGCAGCATGTGGATCCTCATATGTCACTGTAGCATCCCCCTTCGGTTCATTTGTTACCTTGTCTCGGTATAACCATACCTTTGGTCGACCCGTTCTTTTGTCTTTCTATAAGAAGTGGGCATTAACTGGTCAGAAATCAGGCTTCGCCAAGAAGAAATATGAAGATATTCTTATCAAAAGCTAGTAAACAAGGACCAAATGCAACTACAAGCAATACCTGCTCAGATTCCATACCTTTAACAGCCCAATTGTGCCAAAATATTCGGCTAACATGCTTTCATCAGTGCCAGGAGGTAGGTTGCAAACATATACGGACCCATTTGAAGGTGCACCTTTACCTGAATAGCTTGCCATTTTGCTCCAATTTCATGAAATCCCGGCAACAAAACCAGAACCAAGCACTACAAAGAGGTAAGATCCAAAAGAATATATGGATATGTGATATGAAACAGAAAAATACAAAATAATATAACAACAAATCAACATCGTAACAATAAGAAGGAAAATCTAACAAAAGAAGTCCAATTGGAGTCTGACAAACTAATATAATACCCTAATTTCCTCAGAGTTTTTTAGGAACAAAAGAGAGACAACTCGATGCATATATACTCATACATGCAAGTGTGTGCAGGGAGAGAAAGAAGGTTCTTACCTGAGAGAGAGGGAGATGGCGAAAAGTACCAGGGTAAAGAGATCGAATTGACGGAGCTACGATGATGAGACCCGGAGACGCCAATGCTGTTCAAATTGGAAACCCGAAAGCCCAACCACACTTCTCGTGGTGCTTAACAATGGAGTAAATTACATATATGACGTTCATATTATACTTTTTATGTCAATTAAGACTTTAAATTTTTTTTAAGTTCAATAAACCCTTAAACTCTTTAATTATATCAATTAAACCAAAAAAGTTGAATCACTTAATTGACATGCCATAGTTCAAAAATGATAGTGGCTGTCACAGTTTGGTAGAATCAAATTCGACACCAAATAAAGACAAATTATAATTTGACCCCCTAAATTATGGACTTAATTTCATTTTTTCCCTTAAAATATTGAATATTTTACATTGTCCTCTCAATTACTTAAATTATTTCACATTGCCCCCAATTGTAAACGTGCACTATCTTTTTGAACAAAAAAATTCCAACTTGTAGGGGGAAAATGAAAAAAAAATTACATGGTTTAGGAAGTAAAATAAAATAATTTTTCATTAAATTGATAACGAATGTTAATAATTGGGGTGATGTGTAACTAATCAAATAGCTAAGAGTACAATGTAAAAAATGTGAGGAGATAATGTGAAAAAAAAACGTAATAGTGAGAGGTCTAAGTATAATTTATCTTACCAAATAATTACATAATTAGTGATTTGGGGTTAATTTTAGTGTGATGGAGTAATAAACTAGCAAATTTGATTGAGTCATTAAATAACCTGGCAATGCATGGCGTGCGTTGCATGTAAATAAATTTAAATAATAATTTTTATAAAGGTGTATTATGTATGTAATTAAATTAAATAAATATATTAGGTGTTGAATAATTAATTCGTATTATTATTTTATTCTATAAACCTTTAAGTACTCCATCTATTATTTATTTAGGTATCTCCTATACATGTTACTACTTCATATAGATATAGAAGATTGTATATAATTGTACTACTAATAAATAAGTCAAAAGAATTTAGAAATCTTTATAAAAAAGTTTAAAACAACTTGAAAGTCAAATAGGAGTAAAAAAATAAAAATAAGATGAAAGTATATAGATAAGTATAATTAACTTTATTATAATAATTATAAATAAAATAGAAAATCAAAAAAAATTTACAATTACTAACATTTATAAGTAGTATAAATAAGTCAATATCAATATAACTAACTACAATACGAGCCCGCTATATACAATTTAGATAAGACATAAATCTCGACTATATAATATTATAAATGGTCAAATATGAGTTGAGTAAATTTTAATACACACAACTTATTAGACACAACACAAAGACGCCACCTTTTAAAAGCTAGAGGAGTAATTACTCGTTCCTTTTACCCCACTAATATTTTTTGCAAAAAAATTATATGTGCTCCAATATTTTTAAAATTTGCCCCTCAACCCAAAAAAAAAAAAAAAACTCCTCTCACACACTTTAATCCTCCTAGTCACTTTTTCCTTTTACATTTGGGTCTAAATACTCGAGTCTTAATTAAGTAAAGTTAATATGGAAGTTCATGTTCCCAAAGCATAATCAATATTATCAATTTTAAAGAATGCAGTGAATTAGAATACTACTACTTTATTGCATTATGCTAATAGCAACAACCATATATTTTAAACTATAGGTGCTTTGTTATTCATTATGCGTACTTGAGACTTCAAGTCATTTGTTTGGGGTTAAGTTTGTTTGGTGAGAGAATGCAAGTCCATTTCTGTTAACGAGACAAGTTTTAATTTTCATTTCTGCTCCCGTTTCTGTCCATAACAATTTTGTGTAATTTTAAGAAGATAAATCATTATTTATTAGAGAAAAGTTGATTGACGATGTTTTGTGTTATACAATTTCTTTAGGTATGAACAATTATTTGTGGTTTTTTTTTTTTATATTTAGCACCTTTAATCACGAACAATTGCTAATAATCTAACAATATGGTTAGGTATTAGTCCTTAATATTTTTAGTATTAGTTCATAGTGTAAAAGCAATCAATTTGTGGAGAACACGATCTTGTGTATGCTTTTGTATTAATCAATTTCGTATCTATTAATCATATACCAAGCAATTATCATTACGAAATTAACACTTGGACTTGTCAAGAATCAAAATTTCTCTAGACTAATTGAAACACGATCTCAATTTAATTCCCACATTTATTTATCCCGAATCTTTCATATGAGATGAATCGTCTTAAAATTATTGGAACTTGATTTGAATATAATTAAAAATAAATATCAATCTGACAAATTCTATAAATATGAAATTAAGGACAATTATCACACTTACCTTGAACATCATTCAAATAAAGAAAAAAAAAATTTAAAATCAAAAGGCAATCAAGAATGTTAACTTAAACCGAACGAGAGAGAGAGAGAGAGAGAGAGAGAGAGAGAGAGAGAGAGAGAGAGGGAGAGGGAGAGGGAATAAGAAAATAAGAGAAAAACACTTACTTGTACTTGCCGCTCCACTGGGAAGAAAACAAGGGTCTACCGCTTGGAGAAGAAGACAAAAAAAGAGGGAATACGAAACAGAACAACAAAAAGGGCTAAAAAAGGAGGAAAAAAGGAAAAGAAGGGCGGGGGGGGGGGGGGGGGGGGGGGGGGTGGGTGTAGAGACCGGTGCTAATTTTTTTTGGTTTGTTTTTTTTTTTGGCAATTGTGGCAATGAATTAAAAATTAATAATTTTATAGACAACAAAAAATTAATAATTTTATAGGCAACAAAAAAATAGTATTGTCTCTTAGTTTTTGATAGGTCTATCAAATCGTGTATAATTCCAAAAAAATTAAGCACTCAAAATAACTTCACACGCACAATTAATTAAAAAAAAAAACAAAACAAGAAATAATATCAAGAATAACTAAATTATGAAATTGACGAAACACGTTAATGCTCGACGCCTAAACAAAGAAATTGTGTTCCTCATAGCCACTGTCCAAGACTTCCCAATTAAAGAAGAAAAACTTTAACTAAGTCTTGTAAAACCAAATCAAACTAATCCTATTATAACTTTAATTAAACTATATCAAACTAACTAGAATACTCTATGGGTCAAAACTTTTAAACCCATTAAAATTCTAATTGTAAATTAATACCAAATAGATAAGGAATAATATATTTGGAGAGTTTGAGTCAGACTCCAACAGCATTAAAAAAAAATCCTTGGGTTTTAGGCCCTAAATATTTAAAAAGCCTCATAATTTTAGATATATTACTAATTTAGAAAAAAATTAAATCTTTTAAATTTTAAGCCCTACAAAAAAGGCCCCAAAAAATTAAGAAAAAGTCAAAAAATTTGTAATAATTTGTGTTCATGATCCAATTCATAACATTAGAAACCTAAAATAAATAAATAAATAAAATAAAAAGTATTCAAAAATCAACTCATATTTATCCCTACCTATTCTCTCTCTATCTGTAAAAATAAGAAAAAAAAATTTTAAAAAAGTTTAAATTAAACACTGTCTTTGGTGAAAAACAAAACAAAAATTAAAAAATTTTTCTCAGCAACACTAGCACAAACTTCTCCTACTATATCTCTCTCACATTATAAATTAAAAATTAATTAATTTTTTAAAAATTAATATTAAAAATAAATTATTTTTTTAAAAGATTAATATTAAAAATAAAAAAACCATCATTTAATATTTTCATTTTAGGTCTCAAATTTTCTTAAGTCTTCCTATCAAAAAAACACTCAACTCATACTCGATTTGTTTATTAATTCATTTCTAACGAATTATGTCATTTCGGATTTTTGTCGTGTACAAATATTTTATAAATGGTAGATAAACAAATCGTGTCGTGTATCTTCTGATTTGTTTCACCAATATCTGATTCACTTATTAATCGTATTGTGTTGGGTTCACTAATTTACTAAATAGGTGATTTAAGGGAAGACCCAACTCATGCACTAATTTTATGTCGTGTTAACGGGTCGTATCATATTTTGACATCCCTAATTTTGATCTAAAAAATCGACTTCGTAGGGTTTAATTTTTTTTCTTTGAACTAGAAATTGTGTTTTGATGTAAAACTACGTAATTTTGTAAAATATTACTTGTAATATGAAAAATAGTTGTGGCCAATATAAATTTTTTTTAGAGTTTTTCTTCTTTAAACTATAAACTGTTTTTTAATGTAAAACAACGTGTTAATGTTTTATGAAATATTATATGTGACGGGAAAAATAGTTGCCACAAATACAAAAAATTCTTTTGAGTTTATGAAATGTTATGTGCGGCAGGGAAAATAGTTGTCTCATATACACAAATTTCTTTTGAGTTTATGACACTATTTACGGCAGAAAAAATAGTTGTCACAAATGTTAATAAAATATTGATATAAACACACTTTTTATGACGACAAACACAGCCGTCACAAAAAATTGTGTCAAATACGTCTTTTATGACGGTAAATACAGTCGCCGTAAAAAATTTGTTACAAAAAGTCTTTTTTCTTGTAGTGGAAGTAATACTGATCAATATTACATTTTTGCTTGTGTTATTCATTCACACGTTTTATCTTATTATTGTTAAAATTTGCCCCTAATATATTGCATTTTCTAGTTTTGTTCCGTTAATTGCCCTAGTCTAAGTCACACATGTGACCAATCCAATATTGTCCCAACCTAAAGTCAAG